GCTCTGTATTTTGGTCACTTGTTTGAGCCATTCTTCCCCACCCCCCCGAATTACATTTATTTATTTATTTTTAAACTTTATTGTGAATTGGGTGAAGGTTTATAGACAAGATTATCAGTTTTACATTCAACAAATCATACAATTTATAGACAAGATTATCAGTTTTACATTCAACAAATCATCCAAATGTGTTCCAGGTATTGTGTTTTTAAAAATTAACTTATTTAGCCACCTGGTATTCTCTTTGGGTTAAGACAAGCTGTATCTCTTTCCATCCTCACCACCAGCACAACCATAGTTCCAGGATGGAAGACTAGACTTAAAAAAAACAACTGAAACAAAAATAAGTTCTGTACTAATAAAATCATGGATTAAATAGATTTCTGTGGGTCAGTGAGGATTAATCATTACTTAAAATACTTTCTTTGAACAAATGGATTCAAATAACTAACTCAGAAGTAAACTTTTTAAACATAGTCTATTTATAATTTTAAATTCACTTTATAAAAAAAATAATTGACCAGTTTTACATCAAATTTGTGTTTTCCAGGCCTGTCAGAGAGTTTTCTATGCCAAGAGGAGCAAACACATTTTGTTACTGTATAAAAGCAAATGTAATTGTTACTGGAGGTAAGATCGCAGTTCGTACCTTAGACATTTTCTGCTTTATAAATAGTGCTTTCCTTGATTAACATATAGATTTCAATAAAGTTATAGAATCAAGTTTGGAAGTAGATTACCAGGCCTTTCTTTCAGTGTATCTCTGGGTGGATTGAACCTCCAAGTTTGCAGTGAGTATGTTAACCAATTATACATCCCACCTACTCTGAGTCAATCTTCAGGAAATGAAAAAAAAATTGTGTAAAGTCAAATCTGTCAGTCCTTTTCTCTGTGGCTTCTGAATTTGATGGTACACTTAAAAAGGCCTTCTTCATTCCAAGAATACGTAAAACAAGTTATCTTGTATTTTATTCTAATGTTTGCATTATTTTATTTTATATATTATGTTTTAATATTTAATCTATATGTCATTATTGTTAAGTGATGTTGAGTCAGTTCTGACTCATAATGAACCTTTGTAGGGTTCTAAGGGTTTGAACCAAACCACTGACCCTACAGTTAACAGGCCAGTGCTTATCCTATAGTGCCA